GCTCCGCCTCAAAGCTCTTCTCCCCACATCTACAAGGCTCTCCCCATCAGCTCCTCCTCACCCACTCAAATCTCACATTTCCAAGGAGATGAGCTTTAGACCTTGCCTGGCTCCCCACTCCGCATCCTGTCCTGGTGGTGTGCACGGGCACTCTGGCCTTCAGTGTGTGCTGCACTTGCAGTGTGTGGCCCCCCAGCCAGGAAGGCAGCTCACCAACCCCTCCCAAGATGCCCACACAAAACAGGCTCTTAACAGATGACTCCTAGAAAGACAAGTGAGTGACTGCTAAGGGGCTGTGAACCCATGTGTAAGACATATACAGATGAAAAACATTCAATTTGTCCCTGAAAGTTGACTGAAAATCAGTGTCAGATACAGTATAAACAGCAAAGATGCTCTCATTCAATGTAGAGCCATATGTATTTATTTGCAAAAATCCATTTTCAGTTTTGACTGAAATGTTGACAAAAGCCAAAAACTGATCTCAAAACTGCTGTATCACAAAAGCTTAAACTAAGATTATTTACTGATACGAACAGTCACTAACCTCATACATTCTTCTGTATTTTGCTTGCTTCGTCATGTGTGCATTAGTACAGCAGCACACACATTTAACACAAAACACTAGTGTCCTGAAGTAAGTGCCCGGGAAGGCGGCCTCCTCCCTGCTGCCCCAGCCCTTACTCAGAACCCTGCCCTGTGGAGGACAACCCTTCCTGCCCCACTTCCACTCTGCACCCCAGTCCAACCCTGCCTGCCTTCAGATGCTTCTCGCCAGCACACTGGCCTTGCATCTGCCTGGAACCCACCTCTCCCCATCCTTGCATCTGGCTCTTACTCCCCTTTCAAGAACAGATGCGAAGATGTCTCTTGCAAGAAGCCACCCCCCACCAAAACCCTCACACCTCGGGCAATCAGAGCACCCCTGGTGTTTTCCCCACCGAGGGATTCATCACACTTTACTGACCTCCAAACCACAACCTGCCCCCACCCTACACCCAGCCTTGTTCCCTTTGCCAAGAATGTTCTTCCCCCAACGAATTCCTACTCTGCCTAAAGGAGGCTCCTCTGATCCCTCAGCCCTAATCTATTTCCTTCGCTGTCCCTGCAGGGTGTCCACAGGTGTGTGTTCTCACGCGTGTATTTAGTCAGTAGGTGTCCTCCTGCTCCGAGTTTGTGCAGGTTTTGTTCTCTACCGTATCGCTAAAACCGAGCACACAGTACATGTTCATGTGATTTGTCGAAAAAACGAAAGAGCAAATGAGACACCCAGGGTAGGCCGCCGAGCCCAACAGAGAGTGAGGAGGTTGAGGAACTGGGTTCCTAAACACCACCAAGCGCGGCGCCGTCGGCCCGCTCCTCCTCGGTCCCGGGCACCCCTCGCCGCGGGGCGCGGCGGCCCCAGCGGGCCTGCCTACCTCGGAGTCCCGGTTGAGGCGGTACACGTAGAGCTGCGAGGTCCCGGCCACCACGAGGTTGCGCTCGCTGTTGTTAAAGAAGTTGCAGTACATGGAGAACTCGAGGCCGGTGGGCGGATGCGCCTGCTTGTACACGGCGTACATGGCTCCGCGCTCGGGCTGCACAGGAAGGGGACAAGGTGAGTAGAACTCCCGCGCGCAACTCCCGGCCCGCCCGCGCCCACCTGGCAGTTGGAGCCGGCTGACGGGGGACCTGTACGGCGCCGAACACGGTCCGCCCAGACGCGGAAGCCGCGCGCCAAGGTTCCGGGTCCTGCGCCTGCGCAGCGCCGCCGAAGCGCGGCGGCAGCGGGAAACTCAGCGGCCCCTGGCGGCCGGGGGCAGCCTCGCGGCTCCGCTCCTGGGCTCCGCATACAGCGCGGCGAAAACCCAGCTCGTGGGAGATCCAGGGTCTCACTGCCGAGGACGCAGAGCCGGCTGGAAGCCGGACGGTGGCTGGGCGGCTCAGGGCTGGCTGGTCAGGACCTGCCCGTCCCCCGGATCCCAGAATGGGGTCACTGCCGAGGGTCTCTCCCGTAAGAAGAGGCGAGGTCTCAGGCGCCATGCCAGATGCTGGCAGCAGTGTGGAGGCCGGGGGAGCAGAGACCCCCCAGGCGCAAACACGCCCCGAATTAGGCCCTGGCGGCTGCCGCAAGCGTGGCGGAGCCCGACTAGCACAGGAGTCAGGAGAGCTTCCTGGAGGCGTCTCGTCCTGTCCCTGCTCAGCATTGCCCCCGCAGGACGACTCCCCCGCCCCACACCAGCACCAGAAGGCGAGCTCACGACGCGGGGCCCTGGCGTGCCCCTCTACTAGCCCCTCCCCCTGAGGACACCTTTTCACCCGTCTTGCCCACTGCTCCCTCCCCAGGCTTGGTAGTTGCCCGCTTCAAGGGCCCTGGAGCCAGGACCACTACGGGCAGCTAGGCAGACCTCTCCTCACTAGGCTCGGCAGGGACGCGCCCCAGGTACCCTCCAACAGGTATGGGATTTATTTATTTATTTATTTATTTTTGGTATGGGATTTAGAAAGGGAAAAAAGAACAACTTTTTCCCCCCTTTTTGGCTGCCCCGTGACTTGCAGGATCTTATTTCCCTGCCTAGGGATGGAATAGAGAAAGCTGAGCGTGGAAGAATTGATGCTTCTGAACTGTGGTATTGGAGAAGACTCTTGAGAGTCCCTTGGACTGCAAGATCAAACCAGTCTATCCTAAAGGAAATCAGCCTTAAATATTCATCGGAAGGACTGACTCTGAAGCCGAAACTCCGATACTTTGGCCACCTGATACGAAGCACTGACTCATTTGGAAAGACCCTGATGACAGAGGATGAGATGGTTGGATGGCATCACCGACTTGAGGGACATGAGTTCGAGCAAGTTCTGGGAGTGAGTGACGGACAGGGAAGCCGGGCATGCTGCAGTCCACTGGGATGCAAAGAGTGGGACACGACTGACCGACTGAACTGAATGAAGGGATGGAATCTGTGCCCTCTGCAGTGCAGAGGGGAAGCTCGGAGCCCTAACCACTGGACTGTCAGGGAATTTCCAAGAAATGGAATCTTAAGAAATAAAACAAGAAAATATAGGCAAAGCCAAGAAAATAGCAAAGTATGTGTTTGTTGCATCCAGACCTGCCCACTTAGTCATGTCAGCGACAAGACTTGAGCTGTGGACCAAGGGGTCACTTGGGTGCCTGGGCAGGTGTGTGACTGACCCCTGAACCACACCAGTGCCTTTAAAAGTCATAACAAAATTGAACCCTGAAGAGAGGTGTGGACAGGGGCAGGGCTTCTCACGGGCCTGGGAGAACACAAGCAGCCCTTCCTAGAATTACTGAGGCCTTTAACTGTGTCCACATGTCAGCAGGCCCTCCGTGGGGAGCCTGCCTCCCAGATGCACTATTGTATGTCATGCATTTACAGGTATTTTTTCGTGACAGAAGTCGTGGGGGAGTGGGGAGTAGCTGCTACTGTCCCAACTCAAGCCCCTTCTCTTGTAGGAAAATAAGCCCCCCTCCCCCTCAGCCCTACATGGCCCCCTGGAGGGCTGTGTCTGAAGGGGCTGCTTTAAAGTAGTTTGGGTATTGGGGTCAGACAGCAATGAAGAGTCACAACTTATCTTGCTTCCTTGTAAAACAGCATCTGAGTTTCATCCCTGCGTCATTATCCCTCACTTTTTGAGAAACTGGTCCTTTGTCATTTGTCATGTTCTCCTCCCCCCAGATCTTGATCTGGGAGTAGCAGAGGTATATCCCCTGCCCTTCACCCAACATAAAAGCGGCTCTAGTTTGTGTCCATATGGATCTGGGGCTCCTGCTTCTAGTCCGGTCTTGTCCTCAGAGACTTGCCTTTTTCTGGTGGAAAAGTTTTTAAATATTTTTTAAAATATTTGTTAAATATTTAAAATAACCTGAATTTGTGTCCAGAGATACTCAGCCAGTCATCTCCCCATTTAAAACTCAGAGATATTTTCATCCCAGTGAGAGCACATCTCCAACTCAAGGCTTCTCTGTCTTGCTTGTGCTGAACCAGGTGGGCGACTGTCTCAGAGGTTTTCTCTCTTTTGCCCAAATTCCACCTAACAAAGTTCTGAGAGCTTGAAAAAAAGTCATTAAAAAAAAACAAACAAAACTGGAGCCAGGGCTTCCCTGGTGGCTCAGCGGCAAAGAATCTGCCTGCCAATGCAGGAGACATGGGTTGGATCCCAGATCCAGGAAGATGCTACATGCTGCAGAGCTACTAAGCCTGGCGCCACAAAGGCTGAGCCCACGTGCTGCAAATACTGAAGCCCAAGTGTCCTAGAGTCCATGCTTCTCAACAAGAGAATCCACCACAATGAGAAGCACACACACCGCAGCTGGAGAGCGGCCCATGATCCCCACAGCTGGAGAAAAGGCTGAGCAGCAACGAAGGATGGAGCTTCGCTGTGACGAAGACCCAGTACAGCTAAACTAAACAAACCAAAAAAAGTCAACTAGCCATAGCCACCCCGAGGATGTGCTAGAGGAGGGAGTGGGCAAAGCTGGGGCCGTGGCCAGGACACTAGCCCTCCTCGTCCGAGTCAGACGGGCAGTCATGGCACTCATGTCACAGGGCAACTGTGATGGCTAAACAGCTCAGCGACCACAGAACCCTCAGACTCAGCCTGGCACGTGGTACACGCCCTCACAATGTGCGATGTGTCTGTGGGAGAACGGGGCCCAGGGTGGAGAGAGCCAGAGGCACTGAAGCAGCTCCATCTTGGGAAGAGCTGCAGCAGGTGGGCAGGAAGCAAGGAGGAGGGTCGGGGGCAGGAGGTTGCAGTCCTGAGTGGACACCAGGCCCTACCTGCTGCCCGAGCCCTGGACCCACTTCTCTGGGCTTCGCTTCACATATATCACAGACGCGGGTCTGAGGCTGGTTTCTTGGAGGGCCCTGAGCTCAACTGTCTTGACTTCTCATCAGGCACCAGGCGCTGCTGTGGGGAGAGGCCGCCCCACCTGTCGACCTTTCTTGGTGGGAAACCCTCCTCTCCTGGGGAGGCGAGATGAGGCGAGCAGACTGGGCTCCAAGGACAAGAGCATTTATTGAAGCTGTGAACTGGGGCGCAGGGGAGGGTCTGGGGCAATCCGGAAGATATCCTGTCTGAAGGGCTGCTAGAGCCCAGGGTAAGGAGCCAGAGCCAAGGGCCGAGGGGGCAGAAGCTCTCAGAAGGCGATGTTATCCTCATACAGCGACAGCAGCAGCAGGACGGTCCAGCCGCCCAGCAGGCCAACGTTGTGGAGCAAGAAGAGGAGCCAGGGCCGTCGGTCGCGCACGTTCAGCATGGCCGGGAGCTAAGGACGGGGCCTGGGTCAGGGCCGGCTCAGAGCGCCCGCCTAGCGCCCGCCCGGGGCAGCCCCAGACCGCCCGGCTCTGACCATGTCGCAGAGCGCCACATAGAGGAAGAGGCCGGCGGCCACCGCCAGGATCCAGGTCTCGCCGTCTTCGCCTACGCCGGCCGCGAGCGCAACGTAGAGGCCGATGAAGGCCGTGAGCGCCGAGGCCAAGTTCAGGAGCAGCGCTCGGCGCACCGACAGCCCCGCGTGCAGCAGGGCTGCGAAGTCCCCTGGGGCGGGCGGTGGGGGTGGTTTAGTCGCTCCGTCGTGTCCGATTCTTCAGACCCTATGTACCGTAGCCCCCCAGGCCCCTCTGTCCATGGGATTCTCCAGGCAAGAGTACTGGAGTGGGTTGCCATTCCCTTCTCCAGGGGATCTTCCCGACCCAGGGATAGAACCTGGGTCTCCTGAATGGCAGGCGGATTCTTTACTGTCTGAGCCAAGAGGCGCGGGCGGGACTGGGGTTAGGTAGAGGGCCGCGCCCACTCCCCGACAGTCCCGCCCAACTGCGCGGCGGACCAGCCACACCCAGACCCCCCGCTGTGGGCAGGCGCCGCCCCCGGCCGGCCGGCGGGAACTCCGCAAGCCTCACCCAATTCGTGGGGCACCTCGTGGCAGAACACGGCCAGCGAGGTGGCCAGCCCCGTCTTCCAGGAGGACAGAAAGGCGGCGCCCACTGCCAGCCCGTCGGCGAAGTTGTGCACGGCGTCGCCCAGCGTGATCACGTAGGGCAGCAGTCTCAGCTCTGCGGGCGCGGCGGGCGTGGGTGAGCGTCTGCCCTGGTCCGCTCCTCCGTGCCCCCGTGCCTGCGCCGCGCACCGAGATTCTGACCCCCAACCCTCCGGGGCCTCCCTCAGGGCTCACCTGGGTTCAGTCTCTGGGGCTCCGGGCTCAGCAGCTCGGGGCTCTCCTCCGCCACCTGGAGGGGAGACCGGGTCGGGGGGCGGGCCGTGTAGATTAGGCTCAGGGCGGGAAGGTGAGGAGGCACGCGCGGAGCCAAGTCCCCAGATCAGGCCAGGGGCGGAAGCCCTGGAGGGGTGACTGGAAGCACAGACAGGGCTCCGTCGCGGGGGGAGACGCAGGGCAAGGCGGGCTCACCAGGTCTGCGCGAGAGCCCTCGTGGAGCTGCTTTGGCTGCCGGAGGTTGCTGGGCGCCAGCTGCAGGGACATGCCATGGCTGTGGCCGCCGTGACTGTGGCCATGACTGCAGGCCCCATCCTTTGGGTCCTGTGGGGACAGCGGCTCAGGATCCACCGAGCCTCCCCCATCCCTCCCCGCACCACGTCCAACCCCCAAGCACCTGACCTCAGGGTCCAGGGGCAGCAAGAGGTTGAAGAGGCTCTCGAACAGGAAGAAGGCATAGAGCCCACCCAGCACAGCTAGGAGGTGCCAGGTGGGCTGGAAACCAAGGTCCTCCCCGTCATGGGCGTGCAGCCCCAGCACCTGGTGGGGGCGTGGGCAGAGGACACTGGACTCGGTGCCTTGGGACCTCCTCCTCCCAGAGAGGCGGATAGAGGGGTCAGGGAGGGCCCTGGCGGGCTGGGGCAACCTTAGGCATCAAGTGCAGGAGGGCGTCACCGGTGAGCGCGCCCACAGCCATGCTCAGGAAGGCCTGGATGACGTAGTGGGAGGTGGCGCTACATCTGGCACAGCTGAGGAGCACGAGCCCGAGCAGGGAGCACAGGCAGATCAGCAGCGTGGCCAGGGAGCCGTAGAGGTACCCTGGACAGGGAGGACAGCAAGCGCCTCCCTCAGGACCGTGGCCCCTTACTTTCCTGGGAGGGGCGTCCAGATCGAGTCTGGGAGGGGCAGGAGCCCCCCAAGGTTGCAGGCGGTCGGGTGCAGTCCTGGCCTCGGCTTCCTACTGGCCCCTGGCCTCAAGCCCCCATCCTCCTCCCTTGCAGTACCCCCTTCTCTGTTGCCCCTCCATCCCACTGCCTGGTCTGCCAGCCCTGGCCCCGGCTCTCTGCAGTCCAGCGGCTACTTTCTCCTCCCTTTTTGGTTCCGTCTCCATGTTGCTAGCCCCTTGTGCACTGCGGCGCAGGTGCAGCTAGGGAGTAGGGTGAACACTCACTGTCGGCCTGGCTGAGCCGGTCCTGGGTGGGGAGCGTGGGCTGGGGGCTGCAGGCCCCGCTCAGTTGCTGCTGGAGCAGAGCTGGACTCAGTCGGGCCCAGTCGTCCGGCGTCACCCCGGCCTGCTCAGACATTCCGTACACAGCCATGACGTCTCGAGCACTCAGGCACAGCTAGGGTGGGCGTGACAGATCTGGTGTTCAGGGCCCTGAGTGGTCCATGGGCCCCCACCTCTCTCTGGGACTCGGCACATAGATGGCTCACCGTGTCCCATGCACTGGCGCTGCTGTTGGGGGCGGCAAGGAGCACAGGGCCCTGGCCCTTTCCCAGAGGACTGTCATCGCTGTGGCTGTCGTGGGGCTCCGTCGCTCCGCCCAGCCCCAGGCGCTCCATCAAGGCCGCCAGCTCTGGCAGGAGGTGAAAATCCAAGTTTGTGGGCTCCAGCCTTGCACTCCCCAGGGGCACGCATGCTGGGGTTCAGGGTGCTCCCTGGCCTGTAGCCCAGCTCAGGCCTCACCGTCCAGGGTGATGTTGGGGTTCTCGCTACTATGCTGCCGGAACATGAAGTCCACGAAGTACTGGGGAGTCGGCAGGGCATGGAAGCAGGCGCCGCTCCTGACGTGGTCCAGCAGGGCAGCCAGCACCGGGCCGGGGCTGCCGGGAGCCCCCACCCCTGCCGCCTCCGCCAGCAGCTGAGGCAGGTCCACACAGGCCTGGGGAGGAGCTGGCCTCAGTGTCTCGAGCAGCGCAGTCACACTGGCCTCTCGCTCCGCTGAGCCCCCGGCACCACAGCCATCCCCTTCCCGGCCCTGCCTCGTCTGGGCTCTTCCTGGGAGCCCCGGGAGCTTTCTCAGCCCTGTCGAGGATCAGGGCCCTCTCGGGGTGCCCGCAGCCCTGCCCGGCTCAGTGGTGAGCGTCCACTTGTGACCCCCAGCCTAGGGTCCCCCGAGCACCCAGAAAGGTGCTGAGGCCCAGCGCCATCTGAGTGGTCCCCCTTCTCTCAGGCCCTCTCGGGGACCCTCTTCCCCCAGTGCCTCTGGGCAGCTGGCCCAGGCGCCCACCTGCTGAGAAGCAGGCCGGCCAGCGGCGTGGGTCTGGATCCGCTGCAGCAGCCTGGTCAGGGCCGGGCTCAGGGCCTGAGGGCTCTCGAGCAGGACCAGGAGCTGGTCGGCGCGGGCAGCCCAGCGGCCAGCCCGGACCTCGGCGCAGGTGCCCGCCGGGTCGCTGAGGTAGAGGGTAGCGGCGGCACTGAGGCGGGCGATGTGCCTGGGCTCCAGGGCTGGGCCTGAGGGGGCCCCGGGCTGCTCAGGCCTGCCCAGAGCCAGGGCGTCGTCCACAGACAGGCACTGTTGGCACAGATGGGCGGGCGGGGGCCACACACGAGGGCTGCCACCCTCCTGTCCACTGTCCGCTCGCTCACAGACCCCCACCCTCCCCCGTGACAGACGGGCATACCCACGGGGGGTCCCCCATCCCAGGAAGGTTTCTGCCTGGAGCCATTGCCAGTTTTGGGGTGGGGTGAGGGGGGCGCTGACAGGGTGGGGGCAGCCGTAGGATCCCAGAGCTGTACCACCCCTTCCCAGGGAGGGCAGGGGGCTCTGAAAGGGAGAAGAGGAAGGTGGGCTTGGGCCTGCGGGCAGGGCCCGGCGTCAGGCCACCATGCGGCCCGCCTCCTGGAGTTTGCCCGGGCCCTTTGCTGCCAGCCTCAGCCTCGGGGTGGAGCGGCGGGCTTGGGCTGGGGCCGGGCCGGAGGACCCGTTGGTTGGGGGTGTTACCTTTCCACACGGCCCGTCGGCACAGTGCACACGGTCCGCCAGTGTATTTAACAGGCCGCCCAGCGCCACGCGGTCCAGAGCGCCCTGGCCTGAGGACAGCAGGGTCAACAGAGGAGCAGGGGGGGTCGCTGTCCCCGACGCCACCAGCGCGGCCAGCACAGCCAGCAGCGGACCCAGCCCGGGCCAGCCCAGGAGTGCCATGCTGCAGCTGCCCGGTGCCCTGAGCTCAGGGTAGGCCGTGCTCGCCTGGGTGGCTGCGGGCCGCAGGAGCTGCCTGATGTGGGACTGGGGCTGGGCCGGGACCGCCCGCCCCGAGAGGCTCTCCAGGCATTTCCTGCGGGGCCCTGTGATTGGCTGGCAGAGGTGTTGCCGCGGGTTAACCATTCCAGTGGCAGGTCCTCCCTGAGCCTGGGGCTATTGCCCATGGGGGTGAGGCCGGGGTCCTGGTTGGATGGGCCTGGCTCACCCCTCAGCTCCTTCAAGGGTCTTGTTACTGAATGCAAGTCTGTGTGCATGACACATGGTGAGGTTGAAGCTGGCAGCAGAGGAAGGTTTATTGTGGTGCTGAGCAAGAACAGGTGACTCATGTTCAAAATCCCTTAAATCTCTGGATGGCTTTGGGGGGAGTCTGCAATAGGGAGAATTTGGGGAGAGGGCTTTCTCATAATTGGTTGGTGGAGAGGTAGCGGTATTGCCCTGGGCTCCCTTGTTAGGCTGGGACCTTAGTCCTGGCAGAAAAGCTCCTGAGACCCTGCCCCAAGGCTGTAGTTTCTCAACCACCTTCCTCGATTTCTGTGTCCCGCCCTTCCCAGATTAGCAACTATTTGAACCTGACCTTTGGAATTCAGGAGAGGTCTTCGGGGACTGGAGGAAGACTGTTTCCTACAAGGAGAAATGGAGGACCTGGAAAGGATTTTACTGGGAAGGGCCCTACAGGGTGGAGTTCAGTTTCCATCCCCGCCCCCCCCCCTTTTTAACTTCTCAATCTTGAGAACAGGTGTTGGGGTGTTGGACAAAAAAGGGAATAACATTTTGGGTAGAGAGCTTAAGCGTAGACTTAGCAGAGAAACTTGGTTTTATGGGGACTCGGTTTCTGTCCGGGGTTGCTTCCTGTGGCCCTCTTGCTAGGGGCTGCCCCCAGGCCAAAGACATCTGGGCCAGAGGTTCCAGGAGACCACTGGGCCTGTCCCCCACCCCACTGGAGAGCTCTGGTACAGCTCTGCGCCACCGCCCCCCCCCCCAGCATGTTCCCCCTCAAGGCAGCTCAGACACCTCAAAAGCCCTTGCTGGGGGTGGGGGTGTGGATCCTGAGCTGCATTGGAATTCCCAGGGTGGACTTGCTGGGGCCTGTGTGAGGAAAGCAGGAGAGACTCCATCTTGAACCCTGTCATCCATCTTAAAGACAGGATGTGACCTGGGTCTGAACCCTGCCCGAGAGTGAGGAAACCGTTGTTAGTGAAAACCAGCTTTCTTGGAGACTTCCCTCCCTAGAAGTGACAAACAGAAATTGTAGTTGGGGCCAGGCTGCCTGTTAGGTTAACTTTGGAGACATCCCCCCTTGATGTATAATCATTGTTCCCTCGTTTTAATCTTCATTGTTCTCCTAGCACCTACTTGTTGTAAAACTCAATCATATGTGACTGTTGGGAGCCGCCGGGACGAGAAAGGAACCTGCAAGGCAGCTCTTCCCCTCGAGGTTGTCCCAGGGGCCCGGTGTGTCCCTTTCTTCCTTCTGTCTTACTGTTGTTGGGCTTTCTATTAATTTTTGGAAATGATAATTTATAGTAATAAGGCCTCGCTGGAAAAGTCCAAGCCTTTTTTGGAAATGCTTAAGATTGCTCTGGCTCAGGACATGACCATAAACATCAAGTCATAAAAGAAAAGGCCACAGGTATAGTTTGGCTGCTTGTTTAAAAGATTATAATGTTCTAGAATAGAAAAGAGTAGAGGTGTTTAGATTTAGAAGTAGATATACTGCTTTAGTTTACTTGCTCCTTGGTTGAAAGGGTTTTCACTGTTGCTATTTCCTTGCTGCTATTTGTTCATTGTTTCCCTTTCTTTAAACAACATGGGATATTATGGGTATTTTTGTAAAATTAGAAAATGGGGTATATAGGATTTTAATAGAAGATTTATATTAACCAGCTTTACTGCCATTATTTTACTATTAATAGAAGTGTTTTGCTGCTTTAAAGGTGTTTTTGCTGTTTAATAGTTAATCGTTGTAAATTGAGATTTTGTGGTTTCAGGTAAAGAAAAATATCAGGTTTTTCTCATGGTCCTCTTTTCAGAAATGTTAAACATGTTACTGTAACCCTTCCCATGTATTGTTTTATTGTCCAAAGAATTTACACTATACCTGAGATTTATGAAACATTGTTTTTGTTAGAGTGAGAATGTTAGGCCATTGAGGCAAGAAGATTATGTATGGGATATTTAAGTATAAACCCTGTAATTGGAAACATTCTAGATGAATGCTTAGGGGAAAAACATGGGGAAAAAAATATTGACGGAAGCACAAACCAATATCTGATGTAATATGTGGTGACTTAAGGGGGAGGTAACATTCATTCTATAAAAACTGAACTATCCTAAAAATAAAAAAAAAAGCTACCTCTTCTACGCAGCGTGTGTGTGTGTGTGTGTGTGTCTGTGTGTGTGTCTGTCTGTCTTCTCTCGCTGCTGCCGCTCATCCTAAGGGTCCCCCTGGATCTTGCTGGGGCTGGACCCCGGCATGTGACAAAGAGGTTGCTAACATGTAACTAGTCTAGTAGTGGAGGGTATGAAAACGGGGCTTCAGAAACATCAGGATCCTTGTTGGGAACTGATTCCTGTTGGACCCTCTGGCGTAATAAACTGTATTCCACTCTCTTGAGTGACCTCTGAGGTGTGTTTTTGACTCCAGATTCCACAACAGAATCAGGGAACTGAGATAAGGTACTGAGTCACTCTCCCTCTGTGGCCTCCAGGGAAAATCCCCAGGAAATGGCCAAAGCCCCACATAAACAGCCAGGAACAGGAGCCAGGCCTCTGCCCCAGGCACTGGGCACTCCACCCCGGAAGGGGCTCCGGGGTGGGGAGAAGTGTGGCTCCCAGCCCTGCCCCTCCCTGCGGGCTCCCACTCCGGCCTTTGAACCCCTAGGCCTTATCTCTGCCTAGTTGGCAATCTGGGGAAAGGGGCAGACCCCAGGGAGCCAGTCGCCTCTGCCCAGGCAGGTCTCGGGGCAGCCTTCTATAGGGAGTGTTTAGGTGGCCCCTTCCATACCTGATTGGACAGACCCCTGACTGACCTGTGGGGTGTGGTTGGGGTGGGGGAGGAGAAGCTCCAAGGGAGCTGGGAGCCCAGGCCTCGGGACTCTGTTCCAGCGTTCCATGCCGCCCGGGGCAGGGCACCTGGCCAAGCAGGAGCCATGGGCGCAGTCCTGCCCCTCCCACACCGCAGGGTGACCTTGGTGGGCCCTGAGGGGGTATGGGGAAGTGGTGGGCTTGGGAAGAGCATGAGGGTTCCTGGACCCCTGGTTCAATGAGGAAGGAAGCTGGAAAGATTCGAGTTCCCCTCACACAGTTGTGAAGTCCATGGGCTCAAACTGTCCCTTTTCCTACCCTACCTTGCCATGGCCGTTGGGCTGGCTGGAGCTGAGCCCACCTCATCCTGCACTCTTCGGGCTTGGAGAGCTTCAGGGAAAAGTTCTCAGCGCAGACATCTGGTCAGCCCCCCCAGGTCCCATGTGCAGGCCTGACCCCACTAGCAGGCCCCCGGACCTCAGTGCCCGTCTGTGCGGGCCCACGTTTCTCTGCTTCATGTCTGCCCCAGCCCCTCCTTCCTAGCCCAGGGCTGCCAGAGCATGTCAGCAGCTTCTCTGCACACCTGCCTGTCCCCCACCCCCC